CTATAAGCAAATTATTGACTTTCAAAAGTTGACTCTAGCTAAAAAGCTCTTTACACAACAGTGGTCTAATCTTCATCAAGAATTGAAAATCAATATTTTGCCATTTCAATTATTGTTAGGGGAAGGAAGTCGAATTTTCGGGTGAGGTACAAATCACACTGATGGGGTAATCTTTGGAGATATCACTGGGGATACTAATAACTTCAATTTTCAAAGAGTCTCCATCCTGCAAAGAATTCGACCAAGGTCCTTCAATGTAAGTTATAGACCCAGTACCAGGCACAACAGAATTCATTCCATTGATTGATGGTTCACACGGAATCCTGCCAAGTGAAATAATAATAAGTTATCAGGTGTAAAACAGGTCAACTACAAAACTCCAGTTTCTGGCACTCACTTAATGAGAGATGGAGGACAGTCATCATCCTCTCCGACTTCAACCTCAGTACCAGTAACTGTGAGATTATCTGTGTGATAGCCCTCATTTATTGTTTCGTCTGGTGTAGACACCAAACAATTTGGAAACTCCTCAAGCAGGCTAACTGATTCTTTGGGTTCTGTAAGAGAACATGGTTGTTTTTGAAACAAATTTATAAGTTGTAAACAAAATCCAGGGACAGAGTTGCAAAAATGATATTTACCTTTAGAAAATGGCAATGAAAATGTATTATACTTGTTAGTGAAGGATTTAAGAGTCCTGCGACTTGGTTTCTCTATAAGTAAAAAACAATTTAGATGGAGACAAATTCACACACCTTTTCTTTTAAAATAGTATAATATATGACTCTACCTAGAATTTTTGATCCATGTAGCTCTGAATCGTCTAGTACAGGAAACTTAGACATTGCCTCATCTGGTAGAGGAGTACACGAGAAAATTGAAGGAATGGCAGACCGTTTTAAGCGTCGTCGGAACTTGTCAAAAAATTGGCTTTCCTCAAAGTGATGTTCACACAAAAATTTTCTTACGTTCAATCTTTTACTAGGTACTAAAAGCAATTTTTCGTTGCCAGAGTTTTTAACCCATTCTTTACATCTGGCAAATGGAAAGTGAGTGACAATTAATACAAAAGGAAACAATTACCACAGCAACAAAATTAGAAAGTACCTGTCAATATCTCGAGGAAACTTAAAAAACGATGCATTTGGATTGGTCGACCGGCTAATGTTACAATCTTTGGCGCTGCATGTTTTCAATCTAGTTGCCATTCCACTTTGAAACTAAATGTTTATTCAAGGAAATGGAATAAAGAGAGAATTGTCTGATTGTCTACAAACCGGTGAAGGTTCTGCTGCACATTACTTGCGAATCAACTATTCACAGTTCAGGAGTTGTCTGCTGTTTGTTGTGTTTAGGTTAGGTTTTCGTTGGCCGGACCCTGAACGCAACTGATCTATTCACCGAAATACTGGGGGTCAGTTTCACCTCCGGCTTGTCATTATGAATAGATCAGCCAAATATATTTTAAAGCGTTTTTCTCAAAATAAGAACAATTTGTGTCAATCAAGTCATGCAGGAAAGGCAGCTTTTCACAATTCATCCCTATGCAGACAAGGTAATCAGTTACAATCACAAAGTTTAACACCTCATTCTTTGTTTTCTAATTTAATTTAATTTTCTATTAATTGTTAACGTTTTTCCAATTTTAGAGGTTTCCAGCGATAGTGTTGCTCCTCTTGTACTAGTTGAACAGTATAATGCAGTTACACTAATAGGTTTAAATCGGCCATCAAAACGAAATGCACTGGACACCAATTTAATATCTTGTCTACGAGAGGAATTGAAAAAATTTGCGTCTAATCCACTGAGCTCTGTAGCGGTGTTGTATGGAACTGGTGGAAACTTTTGTGCTGGACTAGATTTAGATGAATTGACGTTGGACAAACCTGTAAGTTGCAATTTTTCCTTTGACAAGCTATAGTTGCAATTAATATATACTTTTTCACAGTTATTGATATCCATGTTGAAATTTTAGAGTTTACCTTTGGTTGATGAATTCTGTTGTAAGCCTGTAATTGCTTCAGTGAATGGATATGCAGTGGGAGAAGGTTTTGATCTTGCAATGGCTTGCGATGTGAGGGTAACAGACAACCAGGCTATTTTAGGCTCCTTTAATCGCCGTTTTGGTTGGTGTGCACAAAGTTCAGAATGTTATTATCCTTTGAGCTTTCTTTGGAATAAAATTATCTGAATTTATGTTACAGGCATACCCATCTCTGTTCCTGCGCTACGGCGTCTCTCAGCATCTTGTGGCATGAGTTTTGCATTGGATATAATACTGTCTGGCAGACCAATTAAAGCAGAAGAAGCGTACCAAATGGGTTTAGTACAACAACTTTCACCATGTGGTGCAAGTATGCAGTAAAAAGATACTATTAGTAAATTGAACAGTTGGAAAACATAATTTTCTAATATGAAATTTCGGTTTCTTTATCTTGTTTACATTTTGTGTTTCTAGGCAAAGGAAATGCTTTAACATATGCACAATCATTAACAAAGTATCCCCAAGAGGCACTTCGTGCTGATCGTGCAGCCTTCTTGCATGCCCTAGTTTTGTCAGATGATATACAATATGCCACGGAATCAGAAATATCTTCAATGTTACCAAAAGCTTTAGAGGTAATTACTTTATGTTTCAAAATCGTCCTTTTGTTTATCACTAATGTTATTATTAGAGTTAAAAATATTATAATTTTAAATTTCAGAAAATGCAGTATGAAAGCAGAAGGTTTTCTGAGGGAGTTGGTAAACATGGAACTTTTAAAAACCTTACTGTTCAACCAGGATGGCCAGAGTGGATGAAATAATATTAGTCGTTCACAAGAGCCATCAAAACATCAATGCAAAAAAAAAGAAATTGTATGGGTTTCTTAAAAACTGACCGATTTTGACATAGCCATTACAAAGTATCACCTTTTATTATCACATAATTAATATCAAATGCCATACCCAAGACATGTGCTTTGAAGAACCATATTATAATACAAAGGGCCTATGTTGAAGTTAATTTTATTCCAAGCCCCACCCTTTTTTATTCAATTTTCAAACCCGACAAGCAGGATGTGGCGAAGAATGGAGTGCCCACGTTTTTTGCGAGATATTACAGTAAGTCTTCGCTGTAAATCCCCAGTAAAATTTGGGGTGCCACTCTGATTTGTGTGCACTGAACAAAAATGTTAATATTAATGAAAACACAACAGCTACATGTGGAAGGGTTTTTAACCCTCTTTATGTTTTAAAATACACAAGGTTTAACATACAGCACATTTTAAGATAGTATTGGCAAATTACCTACATTTAGTAATTTCAGTCTTTTTGAATAAGCCAACAGACATCTCAATGAGGGCACTATGTAGTATACTAGACCCACTTCAAATGAAAAAAAAATATTCTATTTTATGATATCTATAAAATAAATCATTAAAATGGAAGACGGTCCTAGACGACACCATCTTGTCTTTGGACTTTAAAACAAAATTCAAGGAAATGCGAGCATCCTCCTGTTAATCTTAAAAACTAATAGATTTTTACATTGGTAGATACTCTAACAGTACCTACAAAAATGTTATGAAATGTTTTGCACAGTTAAATTAAGTAAGGAATGAGGAGTGAGAATGATGACTTAAGTCGTAAATTAACATTTATGAATTTGAGCCTGCCTGTTATTTCAATTAATGTTGGTTTTCTTTCTTCAGTAGAGGGCCATGTAGGCCATGCTTACTTACAATGAAAATGATTATGACAATTAGGAACTATCTAAAAAGTGTTTCAGCCAGAAGTTGGTCTAAAATTTAAACATTGATTTTACAAGAATGCACAACCTAAAATAAGAAAGAGGACTGTTACAGGAAAAATTATGTATACACTCCTTCGGGGATGACAACTGGAAATCAAAAGAGAAATGTCGTCCTGCTCATGTTCTATTCCGTCTCTAGTGGGTACTTCTACAATTACTGTTTCAGCAGAGAGAAATTTTAAGGGGAAATTGCATTCTGTTTTGTTAATACAGCCTTTTGAATCTATAAGCAAATTATTGACTTTCAAAAGTTGACTCTAGCTAAAAAGCTCTTTACACAACAGTGGTCTAATCTTCATCAAGAATTGAAAATCAATATTTTGCCATTTCAATTATTGTTAGGGGAAGGAAGTCGAATTTTCGGGTGAGGTACAAATCACACTGATGGGGTAATCTTTGGAGATATCACTGGGGATACTAATAACTTCAATTTTCAAAGAGTCTCCATCCTGCAAAGAATTCGACCAAGGTCCTTCAATGTAAGTTATAGACCCAGTACCAGGCACAACAGAATTCATTCCATTGATTGATGGTTCACACGGAATCCTGCCAAGTGAAATAATAATAAGTTATCAGGTGTAAAACAGGTCAACTACAAAACTCCAGTTTCTGGCACTCACTTAATGAGAGATGGAGGACAGTCATCATCCTCTCCGACTTCAACCTCAGTACCAGTAACTGTGAGATTATCTGTGTGATAGCCCTCATTTATTGTTTCGTCTGGTGTAGACACCAAACAATTTGGAAACTCCTCAAGCAGGCTAACTGATTCTTTGGGTTCTGTAAGAGAACATGGTTGTTTTTGAAACAAATTTATAAGTTGTAAACAAAATCCAGGGACAGAGTTGCAAAAATGATATTTACCTTTAGAAAATGGCAATGAAAATGTATTATACTTGTTAGTGAAGGATTTAAGAGTCCTGCGACTTGGTTTCTCTATAAGTAAAAAACAATTTAGATGGAGACAAATTCACACACCTTTTCTTTTAAAATAGTATAATATATGACTCTACCTAGAATTTTTGATCCATGTAGCTCTGAATCGTCTAGTACAGGAAACTTAGACATTGCCTCATCTGGTAGAGGAGTACACGAGAAAATTGAAGGAATGGCAGACCGTTTTAAGCGTCGTCGGAACTTGTCAAAAAATTGGCTTTCCTCAAAGTGATGTTCACACAAAAATTTTCTTACGTTCAATCTTTTACTAGGTACTAAAAGCAATTTTTCGTTGCCAGAGTTTTTAACCCATTCTTTACATCTGGCAAATGGAAAGTGAGTGACAATTAATACAAAAGGAAACAATTACCACAGCAACAAAATTAGAAAGTACCTGTCAATATCTCGAGGAAACTTAAAAAACGATGCATTTGGATTGGTCGACCGGCTAATGTTACAATCTTTGGCGCTGCATGTTTTCAATCTAGTTGCCATTCCACTTTGAAACTAAATGTTTATTCAAGGAAATGGAATAAAGAGAGAATTGTCTGATTGTCTACAAACCGGTGAAGGTTCTGCTGCACATTACTTGCGAATCAACTATTCACAGTTCAGGAGTTGTCTGCTGTTTGTTGTGTTTAGGTTAGGTTTTCGTTGGCCGGACCCTGAACGCAACTGATCTATTCACCGAAATACTGGGGGTCAGTTTCACCTCCGGCTTGTCATTATGAATAGATCAGCCAAATATATTTTAAAGCGTTTTTCTCAAAATAAGAACAATTTGTGTCAATCAAGTCATGCAGGAAAGGCAGCTTTTCACAATTCATCCCTATGCAGACAAGGTAATCAGTTACAATCACAAAGTTTAACACCTCATTCTTTGTTTTCTAATTTAATTTAATTTTCTATTAATTGTTAACGTTTTTCCAATTTTAGAGGTTTCCAGCGATAGTGTTGCTCCTCTTGTACTAGTTGAACAGTATAATGCAGTTACACTAATAGGTTTAAATCGGCCATCAAAACGAAATGCACTGGACACCAATTTAATATCTTGTCTACGAGAGGAATTGAAAAAATTTGCGTCTAATCCACTGAGCTCTGTAGCGGTGTTGTATGGAACTGGTGGAAACTTTTGTGCTGGACTAGATTTAGATGAATTGACGTTGGACAAACCTGTAAGTTGCAATTTTTCCTTTGACAAGCTATAGTTGCAATTAATATATACTTTTTCACAGTTATTGATATCCATGTTGAAATTTTAGAGTTTACCTTTGGTTGATGAATTCTGTTGTAAGCCTGTAATTGCTTCAGTGAATGGATATGCAGTGGGAGAAGGTTTTGATCTTGCAATGGCTTGCGATGTGAGGGTAACAGACAACCAGGCTATTTTAGGCTCCTTTAATCGCCGTTTTGGTTGGTGTGCACAAAGTTCAGAATGTTATTATCCTTTGAGCTTTCTTTGGAATAAAATTATCTGAATTTATGTTACAGGCATACCCATCTCTGTTCCTGCGCTACGGCGTCTCTCAGCATCTTGTGGCATGAGTTTTGCATTGGATATAATACTGTCTGGCAGACCAATTAAAGCAGAAGAAGCGTACCAAATGGGTTTAGTACAACAACTTTCACCATGTGGTGCAAGTATGCAGTAAAAAGATACTATTAGTAAATTGAACAGTTGGAAAACATAATTTTCTAATATGAAATTTCGGTTTCTTTATCTTGTTTACATTTTGTGTTTCTAGGCAAAGGAAATGCTTTAACATATGCACAATCATTAACAAAGTATCCCCAAGAGGCACTTCGTGCTGATCGTGCAGCCTTCTTGCATGCCCTAGTTTTGTCAGATGATATACAATATGCCACGGAATCAGAAATATCTTCAATGTTACCAAAAGCTTTAGAGGTAATTACTTTATGTTTCAAAATCGTCCTTTTGTTTATCACTAATGTTATTATTAGAGTTAAAAATATTATAATTTTAAATTTCAGAAAATGCAGTATGAAAGCAGAAGGTTTTCTGAGGGAGTTGGTAAACATGGAACTTTTAAAAACCTTACTGTTCAACCAGGATGGCCAGAGTGGATGAAATAATATTAGTCGTTCACAAGAGCCATCAAAACATCAATGCAAAAAAAAAGAAATTGTATGGGTTTCTTAAAAACTGACCGATTTTGACATAGCCATTACAAAGTATCACCTTTTATTATCACATAATTAATATCAAATGCCATACCCAAGACATGTGCTTTGAAGAACCATATTATAATACAAAGGGCCTATGTTGAAGTTAATTTTATTCCAAGCCCCACCCTTTTTTATTCAATTTTCAAACCCGACAAGCAGGATGTGGCGAAGAATGGAGTGCCCACGTTTTTTGCGAGATATTACAGTAAGTCTTCGCTGTAAATCCCCAGTAAAATTTGGGGTGCCACTCTGATTTGTGTGCACTGAACAAAAATGTTAATATTAATGAAAACACAACAGCTACATGTGGAAGGGTTTTTAACCCTCTTTATGTTTTAAAATACACAAGGTTTAACATACAGCACATTTTAAGATAGTATTGGCAAATTACCTACATTTAGTAATTTCAGTCTTTTTGAATAAGCCAACAGACATCTCAATGAGGGCACTATGTAGTATACTAGACCCACTTCAAATGAAAAAAAAATATTCTATTTTATGATATCTATAAAATAAATCATTAAAATGGAAGACGGTCCTAGACGACACCATCTTGTCTTTGGACTTTAAAACAAAATTCAAGGAAATGCGAGCATCCTCCTGTTAATCTTAAAAACTAATAGATTTTTACATTGGTAGATACTCTAACAGTACCTACAAAAATGTTATGAAATGTTTTGCACAGTTAAATTAAGTAAGGAATGAGGAGTGAGAATGATGACTTAAGTCGTAAATTAACATTTATGAATTTGAGCCTGCCTGTTATTTCAATTAATGTTGGTTTTCTTTCTTCAGTAGAGGGCCATGTAGGCCATGCTTACTTACAATGAAAATGATTATGACAATTAGGAACTATCTAAAAAGTGTTTCAGCCAGAAGTTGGTCTAAAATTTAAACATTGATTTTACAAGAATGCACAACCTAAAATAAGAAAGAGGACTGTTACAGGAAAAATTATGTATACACTCCTTCGGGGATGACAACTGGAAATCAAAAGAGAAATGTCGTCCTGCTCATGTTCTATTCCGTCTCTAGTGGGTACTTCTACAATTACTGTTTCAGCAGAGAGAAATTTTAAGGGGAAATTGCATTCTGTTTTGTTAATACAGCCTTTTGAATAGTTAGCGTACTGATAAGTTGGCTTGTAAATATTGAATACAGCATGTATATCATTCTGAACATAGTCATTATCACTATAAAATATATAGTAATAGTAACCATCAGATACAACTTCATGTTTGGTTTGCATATGACTTCCCTTTTCAAGAAAATGTACATCGGTACATAAGTGTGAGGGTGGAAAACTCTGTGTAAGCAAAATTTGTCCAGCATAACAAGTCAACAGACCATTTTCAAAACTCGAGACGGATGACTCACTACTTTTAACAGAGTAATTATTTGCATTCCCTCCATGAGCAATACCACCATCAAGTGCATTTTTGGGGTCAACTTTTAGATACCTTTTTTTCCTTCCTGTATTTTCACTTGTTTTAACTCTTTCATTTCCATTTTCTTTCGGTATCAAAGTTTCTTCAAGTAACATTTTCTTTTTTTCCCACAGGTCTTTATTGTGAACTTTATGATGCTGTTCAAGGTCTTTCAAACGTTTTTTAGCATGACGTGACCTTCTAACTAATGATGGTACTGTTGCAGTCTTTTCAGTTATATCCAAAGGTCTTGAGGAATTTGTAGATATTCTGTCAAAACTAATACTACCATTCAGAGATGGTTTGTTGGTAGTGTTTTCCTCTCTGTCAGTGACTTCCTGTCCAACATTTTCATCCTCTATAACTTGTTTTCGATTGACTTCAGCTGCTTCGCGGATATGAGCTGTTGAGTCAGATAATATCTCTTGAGCTTCAGTTTCAAATGTCACATGCACTTGGCCCTCCCCCTGAGCCATGTTTATCCCAGCTTTTCTGGCGGTGTGCTCCAATAACCCACACGTACGGAGATTTTTTTCACCCTTGACAACAAGAATCCTTGACCCATCAAACCTAGAAACCAAAGAATAAAACAATGTGGAATAATAAGAAAGCGGCTTAAATTAATGATACTCCGCTTTAAAAAAAAAGAATGTACCTTGAGCATACTGAAAGAACAACAGACGATCCTTTCGGAAGAAAAAAACCCCAATATTCCAAGGTATCGTCGGGCAGTGACATGCTTTTCTTTAACCTGATGTGCTTTCGAATGTTGCTTATCTCAGGAGTACCTCTCATTTGAAAAGCATTAAAAGATGAATTCATCTTCAATCGATGCTCCTAGAAAGGAAAAAAAAGATGACAGAAAACCATTAAATTTATAGATCAGAATCGATATAAATTGCTGATGTATTTTTTTTTTAATACGGTACCTGACAGAAAACATTTGATATACCATCCACCACACGTAAAACATCAGATTCTGCTACAGCAACTGAGACATCTGCATAAACACTGTGCTTTAGGTATAAAGGAATGATTAGGAGAGCTGCTGGGAGTATGCCAATGAGAAGGCAAAATGCAAGTACTCTTCGTGGTCCGTGCATCCTGCCTGGTCCTGCAAACAGAAATAACATCGCTTTGAGAATTATTATTGAATATTCAGTTATACAGGTTTAAAAAGTTAACATTTAAATGATGATGTGCTAGTAGCCAAGTGCCATGGATAGTTCATAATTTATTTAAGAAAAGAAGTGCATTGTAAAATTCAAAAACACTGAAATGAGGTTTCCAATGAAGCTATATTTACCAAATTGATCAATAACAGTAGATGTTTAAGTTGGAAACAGACTGTTTCCAACCCTCGACAGTAATATAAGGGGACTGAATCACGGGATTACTTCCGTTCTCACCTAGCTGACAACTACGACAGCTCGAGGTTAATATAAAGTACCTTTCTAAACTAGGAGTTTCCGTACAAATGCAATGGTTGGATTCAAATTTGGCCATATCATGTAAGCCCGTAGAAATTCGGAACTGTCATACAGTAAGCGAGTGAAGAGACTAAGTCTCTACACAAACTCGTCTGTATGTCTGCAGCTGTTTGGAATGAATGAGCTTGTACACAACAAATTGTAAATAAACAGTGTGCGTGTGTTGGTGTGTGCTTTCTTTTGTTTGGGACGGAAATAGCGCCAAATTCGAGTTCAGCCGGCAATAAGCGAAACAAGAAAACAACAACTCGGAATAAACCCCTTAGGACAGGTCGTTAACGATAATCATCGTCGTTTCTGCTGATTGGTGAATAAAGTTTCCCTCTAATTAATTCAAAATAATTGCAGACTAAAAATCTTTTTTTTT